GAAAAATCCATGGCCGTTCTTTAAAATAATCTTGGAATTTATAGTTTCAAATTAGGTGCATAAACAATATTTTCTGAACATACAGGAAATTCAGCCAGTTTCATTCACATAATTTTCCCAGGATTTGTTAATAAATACCACTACCAGGCCCAGCGTGATAGCATAGTGGTTTAAGTCCTCGCCTTGAATACACCAGGATCCCGTATAAGCGCCTGTTCTAATCCTGGCAGCCCCACTTCCCATCCAACTCCCTGCTTGTGGCCTGGGAAAGCAGTTGAGGACGGTCCAAAGCTTTGGGACCCTGCACCCACGTGGGAGACCTGAAAGAGGCTCCTGGCTCCTGGCTTCAGATTGGCTCAGCTCCAGCCGTTGCGGCTGCTTGGGGAATGAACCATCGGATGGAAGATCTTCCTCTCTGTCTCTCCTCCTCTCAGTGTATCTGCCTTTCTAATAAAAATAAATCTTAAAAAAAAAAAAAGAATTGTTAAAGAATAATAAAATAAAATAAATACGTATCACTGCCAGCAATGGCATAAACAGGGTTGGAGAAGGGGCAGCATGCATTTGAGGAAATAAGAAAAGAGACAGACGTTAGATTAAGACTATAATAACAGATGGCCAGAAGGAAGCCCACTTCTCTGAGAAAGGAGGTTGACCTAGAAGGCTCGATGCCTCAGTCTTTCATTGTACTGCCTGGGGAGCAGATGACTGTAGTTGATGCCACACAAAGATTAAAAGCTCCATCTCCTACATACCCAATTGATGTTAACCAGCCGGGGCATGATGATCAGGAAGTAACAGCGTGACCCATGTGCAGGAGTCAGTACGTGACTGGCTCAAGGATATCTGTGAGATCTCCTTGGACCTTGCCCAACTACAGACCCTCGCCAACAGGCCTCTACCTTGGTCTCAGACTTTTGCTCATGTGCAATTGCTACCTACAATGCTGGCATCTCATATTAGGCAGCTTCCAGGCATTGATCATTAAAAATGTGTGGTCCTGGGCCCAGTGCAGCAGCCTGGTGGCTAACGTCCTCAACTTGCATGTCTGGGATCCCATATGGGCACCGGGTCATGTCCTAGAAGCCCTGCTTCCCATCCAGCTTCCTGCTTGTGGCTTAGGAAAGCAGTCAAGGATGGCCCAAAGCTTTGGGACATTGTACCTGCCTGAGGGACCCAGAAGAAGTTCCTGTCTCCTGGCTTCAGATCGGCTCAGCTCCTCATCACATGGAAGATCTTCCTCTCTATTTCTACTCCTCTCTGTATATCTGACTTCCCAATAAAAATAGTAAATAAATCTTTTTTAAAAATTTGTGATCCTGTTGGAGAAAAATGCATGTTTTTAATCCTTTCATTTTCTTAAATTTCACCAATGAGCAAATATATCAAGTTTGGAAAATGATTCTGATTTAAGGTTGTAATAAAGAGTGCAACAATTATAAAGGTATGAAGTGTGTGCATGTTTTTTATTTCCTTTTCAGAATATGAAGCAAGTAAGCTAATTTCGGTTTTTAGGCAAAGCTAGATTGTTAGGAAAATGGTTTCTCATTTATACATGGCTATTTCTTTGTATTCTCCTGTTCTTGATTGTATACATTGAAGAAAAATAATTTGACAATAAACATTAGCTTTCTAACATTTTCAACATGATATAAAAAAGAAATAAGTTAAACGTACCTTTTTAATAAGTTAAACGTACCTTTTTAATGATTACTGTGAGGTTATTTAGAAATATCTCCTTTTTCAGGGATACATTTTATAAACTAGATAAAACTGCACAGTAAAATGTTTTGCTTATACTGTTTGTAAAAATGAGGTCTTTACAGTGTAAACTTTCATCTCTGTAAAATCATGTTTGTTTTTTAAACATATGTCACTTTGAAATGCTCTATTTTACTATGAGATACATTTTTGTTTGGTTTTTATAGCCTTTCTCCTCAACCATGCCAAGAAAAAATGAAAGCTTGCGTTCCTGTTTTTTTGTTGGAAGAGTTTGTTTTTAATATATATCACACACCACGTTTTAATGACCTAAGAAAGAAATAATGGACGCTTTACCTATGTTACATTTACATTGCCATCTACTTGGGAATTGAAGTATATCTAGAAATGTAATGATCATAAAATTAACATTGGAGGTTTTTAGCATCAATCAAATACTATTTTCATCTAACTTCTAGTTGAAAATAATATGCCTTCATTATCAAATTTCAGTTACCTAAGATTATACTCTCTTGACCAGAAGTTTATTGTCCCATTAAAAGCCAAACCTCTTATTACTTTACATTTTTTGGTTTTGTTTTCCTAATTCGTTTTTACTTAAGGAAAGGCAGAGAAAAAGACACAGATCTTCAATCTGCTGGTTGGTGCGCCAGCATCCAGGGTTGGGCCAGAGGCCAAGGCCAGGAGCCTGGAATTCCATATGGGCTTCCCATGTGGGTGGCAGAGACTAAGGTACTTGAGCCTCTATCTGCCTTCCCAGGGAACACTTCAGAATGGGAGACAAGAATCTCCAGCGGTGTCTTATCACTGTGTCAGATGTCTGCCCCAATTGACGACTCTAAATTGGCTCCATCAAAATAACAGCATACTGTACATTGAACAGTGATACACTTTAGATCATAGGTGCATTCGATATGAGACTACAAAGACATTCTCGGGCCCAGCACGATAACCTAGCAGCTAAAGTCCTCACCTTGCATGCACCAGAAATCCCATGTGGACGCCAGTTCTAACCCCGGCAGCCCTGCTTCCCATCCAGCTCCCTGCTTGCGGCCTGAGAAAACAGTCGAGGACGGCCCAAAGCCCTGGGACCCTGCACCCCCTTGGGAGACCCAGAAGAGGCTCCTGGCTCCTGGCTTCAGACTGGCTCAGCTCTGGCTGTTGCAGCCACTTGGGGAGTGAATCATCAGACAGAAGATCTTCCTCTCGTTCTCTCCTCTTCTCTGAATATGTGACTTTCCAATAACAGTAAACAAATCTTTAAAAAAAAAAGACCTTCTTGTCATTTCACATTAAACAGATATAAAAGGACAGAAGGGAAGAAATTAAAAAAAAACTATCTGATGATTGGGCCTTCCAATTTCGAAGTCCCAAGGAGTCATCTGAAGCATTACATTCGTATTTCTGTTACAATTTTAACAATAGGAATGTTATTTGACATTAAATGTTAATGTTATTTAACAATAGGAAGGATGCATTTGGAAAATCTAGCAATGTTTATCTAAAACAGATAAGATACGGAAATAACCCTAAGAAAATGTGCTTTAAATGTGAGGATGAAAACTACAAGAGAAATGAAACTTGGTTAAAACAAAATCTCAAGCTTACCTGGATAAGTAAAGCTCAATGAAATTTAGCGCAGAAGAACAATGGAGGGAAAACTCCATACCAATACTGAAACTTACTTTAAGCACACTCAGCGCCCTTGTAGTAGGCTGATCAGAAGGGGAACATGCTGTCTATAAATAGGCATTTGTATGTAGAGTTTATTTTGGTAAAATTATATCAATATACAACAACTTGGGAAATAATGGCCTCTAATAATAATGAAGCAACAGGAGCTTTAAAAAAATATTTATTGTTATTGGAAAGGCAGATAGATATACAGAGAGGGGGAGAGACAGAGAGGAAGATCTTCTGTCTGATGGTTCACTCCCCAAGCGGCCGCAACAGCTGGAGCTGAGCCAATCCAAAGCCAAGAGCCAGGAGCCTCTTCCAGGTCTCCCACTCGGGTGCAGGGTCCCAAGGCTCTGGGCCATCCTCTACTGCATTCCCAGGTCACAGGCAGAGAGCTGGATGGGAAGTGAGGCTGCTAGGATTAGAACCGGCGCTTATATGGGATCCTGGTGCATTCAAGGCAAGAATTTTAACCACTATGCTATCGCACCGGGCGAACAACAGGCTCTTATAAGAACATTTTGCAATGTATTCTCTACAATGCCATGAAAATGAGTAACAATTTTGCTGTGATTTAAGAGTACTCCCTGGTATGTTTTTCAAACGTGGAATGAAACCAAATTCGAATATTTTACAGGATTCAGCTTCCCTGGTGTAGTCTAAGAAACAACTACTAGAAATTGTTTGTCCCTTTTCCTTGGAACATCAGAATATCAGTTACCTCTAAAATGTGAAATCTGGGGAAGAAATGGGAACTTCTGTTATCACATCTCTAAAAGAAGGAAGTCCTTTTAAATGCTATCTAAAAATGATGTAATGACATATGTGTATAAAAGTGAAGAAATTTGGGATATGAAGAAAGAAAAAAAAACAAAATGGAAAGATTTGAAGCAAAATTACTGTGAGATAACCAGCATGAAATAACACGTAAATTGTTTTTATTTTTTATTTATTTTTTTTTTATTATTTTTTCATTGGAAAGGCGGATATACAGAGAGGAGAGACAGAGAGGAAGATCTTCCATCCGATGATTCACTCCCCAAGCGAGTGCAACGGGCCGATACTATGCCGATCCGAAGCCAGGAGCCTCTTCTGGGTCTCCCACGTGGGTGCAGGGTCCCAAAGCTTTGGGCCGTCCTCGACTGCTTTCCCAGGCCACAGGCAGGGAGCTGGAAGGGAAGCGGGGCTGCCGGGATTAGAACCGGCGCCCATATGGGATCCCGGGTGTGCAAGGCGAGGACCTTTAACCACTTGCGCCACCGCGCCGGGCCCCGTAAATTGTTTTTAAATGAATGAGCTTGGAATCTTTCAAAATAATCTTTCAAAATAAAATTCTACAAAGGAATTTAACTAGTACCTAACCATAGAAAAAGCTGCCAACAGTGAAATTTAATTAATGATCAATTTTACAAACCAGTTTTTCCTCCTACTTAGTATACATACTTTAGACTTGCTCTTTGAGAAAGCCTATTTAGAATAGCCAAGAAAAGTCTGAAAAAGTGACCATGTCCTGTGCCTGAGTTAGGCATCGTTGCCCACTCTGCCAGGCATCTTACCGATCCTGAGATTGGATGTTTGACATTCTCTCTCTCTCTTGCTAGTTCCCGTTCTGTGATGGATCCCACACAAAACACAACGAAGAGACTGGAGACAACGTGGGACCCCTGATTGTCAAGAAAAAGGAAACTTAGAGGGACAGTTCACATGCTGCAGACCGACTTGTCATGATGTTACCTGGTTGTTTAATTAGGGTGACTACCACTTCTGTCTAATTCACCTCCTCTGGGTTCTAGATGTGGTATATTGCAAATTGCAGCTTTCACATTTCATGGCATTTGCCTTAATTGCTGAAACATCGTGGTGCACATTTGTGTAAACAACAACAGCAACAAAAAAAAAAAAAACAAAGAAAATGTGAAAACCAACTTCATGGCCTGTGGGTTATTTTGGTCTTGTAAGGATCCGTTTCTTTAAATTTAAAATAATGATATTAGAATATAGTCATATCTTGAGGTTGATGTATTAAATTATTCTCAAAATCACACATACGCAAATTGTACTTGTAAGTTTCAAGGAAACATTACCACCTTTTCATATCACTCATTTATGCTAGAAAGTAAATAAGGTATGATCGAGCTATATATACTTCTTAGTACAAGCTTGAAAATGTTACAACCTTGATTTCTTCTTGACAATAGCAGTGACACTGAGAAAACATGGCTTCTGTGTGCTCAAAGTTTTCAATCAGGAAATGAGCTGTATTATTCTGCTTAGTTGTAAGTGACCAGGTCCATAATTCAGGGGCAGTAACATCTCTGTATTCATCTTGATGGATATTTCCTTGATCCATTAAAGGAACTAATAAACCAAAATCATAACTGATGTAAAGTCATGAAGAATGTCTTACAACAACATAATGTTCCCAAATTGTATCCAGGGAATGGCAAAGGCTGGAACTGAGGGCAGCAACAATTGGAACATACAATGCCAATTGTCTTCATTACAAAGCCCCACATCCATGGTAGAAATAGTATTCACAAAGTTAGAGCAAAGACATGGAAGATGGCTATATTGTTCCTTACCCCCCACTCTGGGAAATCATGTATGGCTTACATTAGTAAGGAAGCATCTGGAGAAAAATAAGAGGTGCATCTTTTCAGAAAGCAAAGATTTGAAGACAGCGCTTATGTGACATTCATCGAGGGGTCATACCAGGAGCATTGCATTTGTTACTGATTATGAAAACTGAAAATAATTAGGAGCAGTCAAAGAAAGCTGGAATAGTTGAGAGATCTTTGGAAAATTCATGGGAAAAACATATAATAGGAAAACCATGGCATGAGTGTCAAAATCATTTGCACCAAAATGAACTTGCTTTTAGTCACATGCCTATATGAACTTTTCTGAGGTAATTTTGTGTTTTAAAGAGATTTTGAATTATATGGAAGGAAAGATACCAAAACAAAATACATGTGTAATAATGCAAACATTTAAAAATGATGAGATAAACTTTCTTGTTTTAACACACTTGAATTTTCAATAGTCATTCATAAATCCACTGAAAAAAGTCTAGTTCCTTATTAGAATCAATGAAACCAGACAGCGGTGTTCCTAAATTATATTTGATCATGGCAGTTTTTAAAATAAGCTTTGTGTGCCATTGTAGGTTTAAAAAAAAAATGCTACAAAAACTGGGTAGACTTGTTTTAAGCAGCACTTGTGACTGACCTGGACATGTATTTAACAGCACAGAGAACGAAATCTAAAACCATGAAACCCTGATACTGTCAGATTTGCAGGGTCAACAAAAGAGGGAAATCATACTTTCAAATATTGTTTTACAAAGTTTTTAGTAAAGGGACATTCTTGTAACTTAACAGTCAATTATAAACTTAGGTTGTTAGGTATTTTTGTTTATAATTGTAGGAGCCTATCACACAGTTATCAAAACTACTTTTCGAAGGTGTATTGGTCTGTTTCTGTGGTTCAATTGGAAATGACATTGACAGATTTCCTGCTGTGTATTACCAGAACAGGTAAATGTATCAGTTAACATGTTTTTGAGCTAATGGGATGCTCAAACCTTGTAAGGAACTGCTGGTTGGCCTGGCAGCTCAGTTGTTGGTTAAGCTGTCCATGATCCATGGGAAGAACCTGGGTTTTAACCTGGTTCTGGTTCCTGATTCCAGCTTCCTACTGATGCAAACCTTGGGAGGCAGCAGCGATCATTCACGTAATTGAATTCTTGCCTTTCACGTGGAACATCAAGATTGAGTTCTTGGTTCCTGCCTCCTTGCAGGCATTTGGGGGATGAAGCAGCTGGTGAGAGCTTGCTCTCAGTCTCTGCCCCACAAAGGAAAAAATAATAAATACTCAAAGAGAACTCCCTTTCATAATTAACCTAAAAAATGGTGGGTGTCAATATGTTGATGTGACTTTTTTTTTAATTGTGCATAATTTCTGATCTAGTTAAACACCTTGAAGTGTGTGGTTATCATTTCATTGCAGTATTGGACAAGTGGCTCTCCCCATTTTTCCCTCTCATTTGTTCTCATAGTTTCTGAAGAGCCTGTTTTTTGTTGTTATTGTTTGATTGTTTGTTTGGTTTTTGTATGGAGAGCTTGTTTTACAGCGATTTTAAGTGACATTGATCTGTAGCAAATATTTAATAGGCAGCCATGGACCATGGAACTGGTGGGCATTTTGGAAAACTGGAAGCTCACAGTTTAGACTATATATAGTTTATGGCATAAAGTTGTGTAATTATGACTTGACGCTGTTTCCCTGATAAACCTTAAAGCTACAATCATTTGTACCAAATATTTCTATTAAGCACGTAGAATTATTTGATTTTACATTGATTATGAAGGTTTTTGATTTTGCTTTGTTTGAAGGTTTATAATTAGCAAGTTGCTCGGGTGCCAGTGAGAGTATTATGTTACTAGCCATAATATTCTTGCCCCTCACTTTTACTACCAACTGACCTCAAGCAAAGGCTCTCATGACCCAACCTTTTAAATTGCAATGATTGGAATAAACAGTATTTTAGGCAATTGTTCTCAAATACCAGTGCACATTTTCAACTGATAGTATCAACTCTAATCTACTACTATGGGATTAGTCCAACTTGTATAATATTAAAGTATTGCTTTATGAAGTATTACTAGTATAAGTTACTTTGAATTCATACTTAACAGAAGAAAAATAGGCAGCTCTGTTTTGGTTGTGGCCCACGCCCCCTTTTTCAAAGCATCTCCATGAAATGGTCTAGGCACCATTGAGCCAAGGTCTTCTCTGAGGTACAGAGACTTGGGACTGGCGTGGCATGGTGGCTTAAGGCTCTGCTTATGATGCTGACATCCATGTAAGAACACCAGTTCTTGTCTGTTGAGGTCCCAGCTGCCCTGGTTCTGGTCCAGTTGCCTGCTGTTGCACCCAGAAAGGCAGCAGAAGATTGTTCATGTGCTTCTTGTCAGTCTTGCGGGAAATCAGAATGGCCAGGTTTTGGCTATTGCAGCCATTTTAACATTGAACCAGCAAATGAAAGATCTGTCTCTCCCTCTCTTCTGTCATTCTTCTGCCTTTCAAATAAATACATTTTTAAAAGAAATCACACTTTTATTGATCTTGATATTTGTATTTTGATATTTCTAATATGTGATTGTAAGCATAATGCATTGAAGCTTCATAGAACGTTACTAACTGGGATATTTTTTTAAAAATTTTTTTTTCCCTTCCATTCAGTTGAGCATTATGGATCCAAACTAAGGCCGATACCGGTCTATTCTAATCTCTTCTTAACCTGTGACTTTTTTTTTTTATTGGAAAGTCAGATATACAGAGAGGAGGAAAGACAGAGAGAAAGATCTTCCATCTGATGATTGACTCCCCAAGTGAACGCAACAGCCGGTGCTGTGCTGATCCGAAGTCAGGATCCAGGAACTTCTCCCAGGTCTCCTACATGGGTGCAGGGTCCCAAGGCTTTGGACCATCCTCAACTGCTTTCCCAGGCCACAAGCAGGGAGTTGGATGGGAAGTGGCGCAGCCGGGATTAGAACCAGCGCTCATATGGGTTCTCGGAGTGTTCAAGGCAAGGATTTTAGCTGCTAGGCCACGCCGCCAGGCTATTAACCAGTAACTTTAAATGACTCAAATACACATCTCAGAAATTTACAAAGGGATTGCTTCTCAGCCTTTTGGCTAAGATCAAGTGTAGAAATTTACAAAGGACAATTTGAACATCAGTCTGTCCAGGAAAATATTTTTCATGGATTTAAGTGAGAAAGTATTTTATAAACAAAAGAATTACATAGAATAACTGAAGCTCCTGGGAATTATACTTAACAAGAAAGACTGGGAGTCAGTTTTTTTCTTTTAATTCAGTAAATCTGTAAAGAAATAGCGCATGAGATTATGAGTATTACTTCTGTGTCTCCAAACAGAAAACGTGATTCAATTCAAACAAAGCAAAACCATGCCAGACTTGGATTGTGCATCATGTGTTGTGTAATTGATTTGCTTTTCATTTGGCAGAGTCCCCAAGTATGCACTTGTTGAAAACAGTTGCTTCTCTTTGCTTCTTGTAACCTCTTTCCGAGGAACAATGGAAAGTACATTGCGCTCAAGATGGCATTCTGCATGAGACTGTTCTCATCTGTAAGTGTTGAGACCCACCTTTACCTTTCATTTAATCTGTCTCATGTAAAATATATTGCTGGAGGACACATTAGCATTTCTGCTAAAAATACTTCCTACCAGCATTAAGTAGGAGCTCTTCCAACTCCGTATGCAAGATGAGAGTTGATGTCTCGTCATCCATTGAACTTTGCTAGATCTGTTTATTTTTTAAAATTCCAGCAACTCTGAAAAGTTGCTCTTATGTGATCTCTCTCAACACAATCCACACTTCTTCTTTATCTGAAACTTAAGGCAGGCTCCCCCTCATTGCATTCCAAACAGCTGTATGTTCACCTTAATACTAGGGGCTTTAAGTTCTAAGATTTCTCAACCTTTGTTTTTCCAGTGCAGTCTATTTAGTAACTTTCACATGAACCTTTTCCTTATCTCTTTACCTTCTCACCCCTTGCAACAAAGAGCATTTGTACCATCCCATAATGCAACGTCTGCCCTTTCTCTTTAATACTGTTTGTCTTTAATCCACAGGAAATCTGCTTCTAGGGCAGAAGCTATGATAACCTTGGCTTTCCCTTACTGGTTGCTGCTTCCATCCCGTCCCTTGGCGCCACCTAGTGTAGAATAGTAATGAAAACGTGAAGTCATAAATTAAATTTTGTAATTTAGCAATGTGCCCTTGATTTAAGTCCCTGATCTTGAAATTCCTTTGTGCCTCCCCAGATTTAGCTGCTTACAAGCAGTAAGTATTCCTTACTGTATCTTACATTTCTATGACTTCTTTCTTTTTTTTTTTAATTAGAATTTTTTTTAAGATTTGTTTTTATTGAAAAGTCAGGTTTACTGAGAGGAGAGACAGAAATGTTCCTTCCACTGGTTCACCCTCCAGAGGCCATAACAGCTGGAGCTGAGCTGATCCAGAGCCAGGAGCTTCTTCCGAGTCTCCCACGCAGGTGCAGGGTCCCCAGGCTTTGGACTGTCCTCTGCTGCTGCTTTCCCAGGCCAGAAGCAGGGAGCTGGAAGAGAAGT